TATTCAGTGATGAGAGGTTTTGAAATGTTCTAGTTCCAGTGAATGCGACACAGGCGCAATGCTCTGACCAAGCAAGGAGGAGTTTGTGTGAAAGGTACTCATCCATGTTTTATTGGCTATCAGCGCTGATACTATTTAGAGTTGTCATAGAAGAAAGTTGACACATTAAAAGATACATTTTCTTCTGTGGTGGCTGGCAAGGGCAGAAAGAGCCATCATGGACCCGGTAAACAGGGAAATTATTTAAATCTAGTAGGTTTCCAAACTTTTGTAAATATCAGGCAGCTCATTCACGATGAAATGATGCCAAGCTTGAAACGGACCAGGCCTAACTTGTAGAAGTAAAAAACACAGCTGCTTCCCACATTTACAAAGCCTTTTTGTCAGGGGTGACAGTATGCTTTGATACAACACACAATTAGAAAGAAAGATCACATCTCTCCTATCCTGGCTTCTCTTCATTGGCTTCCTGTTTAATCCAGAATAGAATTTAAAATCCTCCTTCTCACATATAAAGCCTTAAATGGCCAAGCTCCATCAGAGTTATGATTGTTCCTTATGTTCCTAAAATAGCACTTTGCTCACAATCTGCAGGTTTACTAGTGGTTCCTAGAATTTCTAAAAGTAGAATGGGAGGCAGATCTTTTATTTATCAGGCTCCTCTCCTGTGGAACCAACTACCAGTTTTAGTCTGTGAAGCAGACACCCTGTCTACTTTTAAGCGTAGGCGTAGGCTTTTCCTTTTTAATAAAGCTTTCAGTTAGAGAGGCTCAGCTTATCCTGAGCTATCTCTATAGTTATACTGCTATAGGCTTAGACTGCTGGAGGACCTTTTTATCATTCTATCTCTTTTCTCCCTTTTTTGCAGTATTTGTTAGTTCAATCTCTAACTTTCTGCTCTCACTGCCTTTACTCATAGTAGCTTAATCTGGTATGTTCCTGTGTGTCTGTGTCTAAATCCTGGGTAGAAACCTCAGATGTGGTGCTGCCATCATCACCTTTGTTTACAGATGTTTGAGCTTTGCCTGTTTTTCAGCATAGTCAAAAGGTTAAAAGTTTTTCCTCTCCACTGTCACTATAAGCATGCTTGGTGAGTGAATGCCTTCAAGCCAATGAGTCGATGCAATTAGCTGGTTTTCCTTAGATAGAAAATTTTACAAATCTGACTATCATCTGGTTGAATTATCTCTGTAAGGTGCCTTGAGATATGTGTTGATAATTGGCTCAATATAAATAAACTGAATTGAATTTAACTGCGTACCTATGAAGATCAGGCGACACAGTACCAGGAAGACCTGCTGCCTCTTCCTTTGTGAGACCAACTTCAGCACAGTGAGACAGTTGTTCATGTTTAAACCTCAAACCTGTGTTGCACAGTAAACTTTGAGCAACTCTGCTATCTGTCTTAGCTTGATAATAGGCTATGTGGTTAAAAAACTGCCTCTGCAGCTTGCTAACTTTGAGGATTTTATTTCTTCCGCCTCATGAGAGTTGGTTTAAAGCTTTATTGAATTTCTACCAAAGAAATTT